CTGGGCCGGAGCACCACTAAGACCTGGCTTCTCCTTCTCCAGAGCACCACACTTGCTCTCCACTGGCCAGCCCCATGTCCCCACATTCCCAGTCATCCAACCCGTCATCCAGGGACTCTTCTCCAAGCAGAGAATTCTTACCAGCCCTCAGCAGCTCAAGGCCCCCCATCATCATCCACCGAGCTGGCAAGAAGTATGGCTTCACCCTGAGGGCCATCCGTGTCTACATGGGTGACTCAGACGTCTACACCGTGCACCACATGGTGTGGGTATGTCTGGCCATCTAGACCTGTTGTCTCCCAGCTTCATTACTCCTCTTCCTTCCCATTACTCGGGCCTGTCTGTCCCTGCCCACATTTCCCTCAGGGGGAAAAGAGTGGGAGATGGGGGGTGGGGTCACAGCTCAATGAGCAGAACTAGGCCCAACACCTCATGCTCAGGCTCTAAGCTGAGGACTGTTGTTTCCCCGGGACAGCACGTGGAGGACGGAGGTCCAGCCGGTGATGCAGGGCTTCGTCAGGGGGACCTCATCACCCACGTCAATGGGGAGCCTGTGCACGGGCTGGTGCACACAGAGGTGGTGGAGCTAATCCTGAAGGTCAGTGCTGGGTGTGCCACCTGTCCCTGAATGACCCCAGCCTTGCTGGGTCTGTGACTGGCCATGGGGGAGTGGGAGAGTTGGGTGCACTCACACAGCACATACACACACAACTTGGGTGTGGCCATAGCAAAGGGTTTTCACTGGAAGGCAGCACCCCTACTGACCGAGGCCCAGGGATCTCCCTGAGCTGTGGGCAGGACTGGAGGCATGTGAGTCTCTTCTCTGATGTCTGTAGCCCAAACCACTTGGGCTCCAGCTGGAGCCATTTCCTAATCTGAGGAGGGAAAACAGGTCCGTGGTTCAGATATGGTGAGGCAGGGGTAAAAGCTAGAGCTGTAGGGTAGCCATGCCCAGAGGGAGGGGCAGGGGCAAGAATATGGCAGCTGCCTTATCCTGGGCTCATGTTCTTTTCCCCAGAGTGGAAACAAGGTGTCTATTTCAACAACTCCCCTGGAGAACACATCCATTAAAGTGGGGCCAGCTCGGAAGGGCAGCTACAAGGCTAAGATGGCCCGAAGGAGCAAGCGGAGCCGGGGCAAGGATGGACAGGAAAGGTGAGCCAGATTCAGCTCTGAGCCACTTAGGTGCTAGTGTGTGCTGAGGACCATGGCCCTGGGCCCAGTGTGTCCTGTGCCCTGGGCACCAACTCAGACAGCCTTTGATTCTCATCTCTGCAGCAGAAAAAGGAGCTCCCTATTCCGGAAGATCACCAAGCAGGCCTCCCTGCTCCACACCAGCCGCAGCCTTTCTTCCCTTAACCGTTCTTTGTCATCAGGGGAGAGTGGGCCAGGCTCTCCCACACACAGCCACAGCCTTTCCCCCCGATCTCCCACTCAGGGCTACCGGGTGACCCCTGATGCTGTGCATTCAGGTACGAAGGGCTCCCTGCAGGTCACAGAGATAACCCCTGGGAGATAGGAAAGTCCTGGGCCCTTGTACTTCCCACTGGTCCCACTTTGAAGCTCCCATCCAACCACCCCCGAAAGTCCAGCAGTCTTGGGGAGGAGGTGACAGGGGCGGAGGGTGACTTCATTTCTGTAGCCTGGGCTCTGGTTCACTGATAGGGTGACCTTGATGATCGTGGGACATTCCAGGGCTAAGCCCTGTCTTGTACCTCAGTTACTTCTAAGAGCTAACTGCTCTGCCTCTGTCTGTGTGTCTGTCTGTCTGTGCATAGTGGGGGGGAATTCATCACAGAGCAGCTCCCCCAGCTCCAGCGTGCCCAGTTCTCCAGCCGGCTCCGGGCACGCGCGACCCAGCTCCCTGCACGGTCTGGCACCCAAGCTCCAGCGCCAGTACCGCTCTCCACGGCGCAAGTCAGCGGGCAGCATCCCGCTGTCACCCCTGGCCCACACCCCTTCTCCACCACCAGCAGCCTCACCCCAGCGTTCCCCATCACCCCTGTCTGGCCATGGAGCCCAGGCCTTCCCCACCAAGCTTCACTTGTCGCCTCCCTTAGGCCGGCAACTCTCCCGACCCAAGAGCGCGGAGCCACCCCGCTCACCACTGCTCAAGAGGGTACAGTCGGCTGAGAAGCTGGCGGCTGCGCTTGCTGCTTCTGAGAAGAAGCTTGCCACTTCTCGGAAACATAGCCTTGACCTGCCCCCCCCTGAGCTAAAGAAGGAACTGCCGCCCAGGGCAGTCAGCCCTCTGGAGGTAGCTGGGACCAGGAGTGTGCTGTCTGGGAAGGGGGCGCTGCCAGGGAAGGGAGTGCTGCAGCCTGCTGCCTCGTGGGCCCTAGGCACCCTCCGCCAAGACCGGGCTGAACGGCGAGAGTCACTGCAGAAACAAGAAGCCATCCGAGAGGTCGACTCTTCAGAGGATGACACTGATGAGGGGCCTGAGAACAGTCAAGGTGTACAGGAGCCAAGCTTGGTACCTAACCCAGAAGTGGGCCAGGATCCACCCGTCAGAGGAGCCAGAGAGGGTGAGGAAGAGGATGCCTTCTTGCCCAGAGACCGCAGGAGCCAGGGCCCAGGGGACCCAGGCCTATTGACAGGGGTCACACTGGGATCTTCCAAAATGGAAGGCCCTAGTGTCCCCCAGAAGAGGCTTGGGATCCTACAGGCCTTTGAAGAGGCTGCTAGCCCCTCGTCATCAGCCCCCAGCCTGGGTAGGGCTGGACCCACAGACCCCATCCCTGCTGAAGGCTGCTGGAAGGCCCAGCAACTCCATACCCAGGCACTAACAGCACTTTGTCCGAGCTCTTCAGGACTCATCCCCACCAGTTGCTCCGCTGCCTCTACTTCTGGAGAGCTGGGCCCATGGTCCTGGAAATTCCTTATCAAGGGCCCTGAGAGGGCATCCCCAAGCAGAAGGGCAACAACAGAAGGTGGGCTGGCCAGCTCCCAGGATTTGGAAGCCACAACTTCAGTCCACCCTACAAACCTGTCTCCCAGACAGGAGGGGAAGTCATGGCCACCCAGTGCCCCTGGACTGGCCCATCCACTTTGTGAGATTCCCAGCCAAAGCTGGCTCTGGGAGCCTCAGTGTGCGCAAAGAGAGAAAGAGGAGCCAGCTCTGGGCATCACCAAAGTGCGTGATGCCTCAGGTGACAGGAGGCAGGACGTTCCATGCAAAAGCTGCCCCCTCACCCAGGAGTCTGGGCCCAGCCTGCTCCAGAAGGGCCGAGACCCAGGGGGCCCTCAGAAGCATCAGGACTTGGCATTGGCACCCGATGAGTTTTTAAAGCAAACGTAGCAGTTGTTTGCCATTTCTTGCACTCAGACCTGTGTAATACACGCTCTTGGAAACCATCTTTAATGTGTTTTGCTTGCGTCTTTCTTCAGTCAATACAAATGTAACTCAAGGTCCCGTGCTGCTGCTGAGGATAAGACAGTTTCCACTGTCACGGGAAGGGTACCTAAGCCAGCCAGGCTTCTCAGAGACTGTGACATCTGAGCTTGAACCTGGATACGTAGTAGTTTGCTAGGTTCCTGGAGTGGGGATTAGTGTGAGAAGGACATGTCCAGGCAAAGAGTACAGCACTTACCACATACCTGATTTATTCACAGAACCGAAGATGATTCAAAGCGGAAATGGGTCCAGTGAGTTAGACGAGGGCCATGTCTAATAACCTTACAGGAGTTTAGACTTTCTGTAGGTAATGGGGAACCAGAGGAGGCCATGTAGCAACTAATATTCCTGCTTTATGGATAAGGGAACTTAGGTTTTCAGATATTAACATGCTCAAGGTCATACAGCTTGAGAAGAGCTAGGATTAGGATTTAGGTTTCTCTTACCTCCAGAACCCACATTTCTCTCCTAACTTAGAGTACCTCTTACTCAGAAAATGAGCAAAAGAGGTAAAGGGACATGAAGAGTTGAACTTGGGTATATTTAATTTGAGGTGCTTGTAGGACATCCAGATGGTGATTGGGTGCATGGGTCTGGAACTCAGTAGGGAAATCTAGACTGAAGATAGAAATTTGAGAGCCATCAGTGTATCAATAGTAATACATTGAGGAGCACTAGCATTTAAAGCAAAGAACGAAGACTTAGAAGAAGCAACCAGAAGAGTAAAAATCCAAGAGTACAGTTAAATGGAGAAGTTACTTGGTAAAATACTGAGAGGCCAGGTGAAGTGAAAATAGAGAACTACCTCTGTATTCGTCATAACTTCTTAATGTTTGTAACCAGTGAGCCTGTCTTGGGCTATTGTCAGGTAAGCCTTGGTGCTGGAGACGGACATTGCTGAGGTGGGCAGCCCCCATTGGTTTTGGAACTGCCCTTGGTGGGTGGGTAGGTGATATGGAAGGGAGGGCAGGACACCTAGGGGACCATTGCTGGAGGAATCAGGCGATGGCATCACAGGAGCAGAGTAGGGTGGAGTGTCTCATGGTGATGCAGGACTTGCCAGACTGTTTTCTTGCACTAATTGTCCCATGATCCAATGCCTAGGTCCAAAGGAGAGGTGTCCAGAGGCCTAGAGATGGAAATGCCTCTGGGCCACTGGCTGGGCATGTCATGCACCCTGCAGCTCTTCGTCACCCAGCATGGGGAAGGCTGTGGCCACCAGAGGGCGCACCATCCCCATGGTGGCAAAGCCAACCAGCGGGATGTCTGGCTCCTCAGCCTTCCAGTCCCCTCGTGAACTCACTTCCTCCTTCCTTCAGTCACTGAAGGCAGATCCTTGGCCAGCCTGTACTGGACACTGGGACCCAGGTAACTAACTAGTTTCCTGGGGGAGCCCCGTATGTATGTCAGGATCTGGTTGGAAGCACCACACTGTAGGTGAAGGGGAGGGGCGGGCACATCTTGCAACGGTTCATGGGAGGGAGGAAGTGCCCCCCTAGGGGGCTGGGAGGAGTAGGCACAGAGCTGCTAAGCACCGGTAATGCTGGGCCACTGCCCCACGTACCAGTGGTGCTTCCTGTGAGAAACACTGCCGGATTAGCCTGACCAGAGTAAGGGGTGTCTACAGGGAAGTGGTAGAGTCAGATTTATGTTTTAGCAGGATCGGTGGCTGCAGTGTAGGGAGGCTCAAGTGGAGTAAGCAGGCCAGGGGGAACATGATGTAGTGACCCATTATAGTGGTCTAAACTACGATGGCAGCAGTGAGGTGGTTTTCCCAGAAGAGGGGGAAGTGTAGGCAGTCGGACACAGATCTGGCAGCCATCAGCAAGTACGTGGTAGTTAAAGCCAGAGGATAGACGGGGATTGTACCGAGGACATGTGCAGAAGGAAAAAGGAAAAGGTCCAAGATACTGGGCTTAGTTGAGAGGAGAGAGTCAACTAAAGAGTAACTGAAGTAGGGGAAGAGATCCTGAACTTGGGAGAAGCCAGGCCATTTTAAGTACTTTCTAACTTACCATTAAGAGCAACTGAAAGTTATTTAATGGTTTTACACAAGTTCAGATTTGCATTTTGAAAAGATGACTCTGGTTGCTATAATGAAATGGATTTGAGGGGGCAAGAATGAAAGAAGGGAGGCCTTTCAGGATTACGGTTAGACAGTGAAACAGTGAAGTTGGAGAGAAGAGATGTCTTTGATACTTAGAAAGTAAAACTGATGTGGGTTGGTGGTAGGTTTTATGTAGACAGAAAGCAAAAGTATCGAAAATGATGCCTGCACTTCTGACTTACATAACCAGTTGAGTTACGTGTTTCCGTTCACTGAAATACGAAATAATGGAAGAGAACCAGGGCTGGGTAATGACCCTGCATTCAATATGCTGAATATGAGGTACCTCCCAATACAGGTCTGGGCAAGAGAAGCAAAGATGGATCTAACTGGCCTAGAGACAGTAGGTGAATTCATGGATGTGGATAAAGCTGCCAAGGGAAAAAGGCTAAGTGAAAAGGTGGCCAGAGGAGTCCAGGAGAATGCAAAGGAGCAGTCAGAGGTGTAGGAGGAGACTAGGTGAGTGAGTGAGTCAGGGAGTCCATGGCAGAGTCTTTTTGTGGAGAAGAGCAGTCACAGTGCTGGTTACTGAACACATCAAGGGGAGCATCTTCAGGCAGTGGTGGGGCCTGTACTGAAATGCTTGGGATGTAAGGAAATACAAACTTTATGGTTTTTCCAAAGGGCTTGGCTTTGAAGAGAGAAAGGATTTAGTAGAGATTGGGCAGGTGGAGTGAGACATCCAACCACGTTCCAATGTCAGCGGACCATCCAGTTGAGTGGAGACTATAGTCAAAAAACTCACAGAAGGTGGGAGAAAATAGGATCCAAAACGCTCGTGGACGGGAAGACTGGATTCTGGTTGGAAGAGGGCTACCTTTTGAAATTTAACAGGTGAGAGGAAGAGGAGTTACGTGAATACAGGGCAGTTTTAGGTTTGGTGACAGAAAGATAAGGGAATTCATAGCCAAACATGTTTTCTCTGTAAAGTAAAACATGTAGTACCTATGGGGACACCCAGGGCCTCAGTGGAGACACCCAGCCAGGTGGCATTCAGGAGAGAGGAATGGGCTGAGATAAGTGTTTGAGCATCCCATGCAGAGTGGAGACAACTCTTGCGATTAGGGGACATTATCTGTGCTTCCTAACAGTGGCCTTGGGGGTGCTATGCAGCTAAAGTACAGTGGAGAGGAAGGGCGTAAGCAAGGTCATTTAGAACAATAGGTTATTGGCCTCCAGTCTGATTTGTAAGTCCGTGCACACATGGGTGGGGCCTGAACCACCAGGATGAGAACCACTATGCCCTGTGCCCACAGGGGTCACGTTTGCTGATTATGTTCCCAACACATGGGAACCTCAACAAAGTGTTGTGGCTGGAGGATGACAAGGGCCTGGGGCAACAAGAGGACGGACCATAAGCCTGAGCCCACTTCCCTTACTGCCACAACAGAACGTGCAAACACATTTCTAGGCAGACAGATGTGATGAGACTCAATAAACTGGGCTAATAGGAATGGGGTGAGGAGGAAACAGCTCTCAGATTTAACTGCCTCAGGGTTATCGTTTCTGAGTCTCCCTGTGTTGTGTGTTGGTGGATAGGATGCTGGCACCATGCGTGACAGGGTTGGCTTCCTCTTCTCCAGGGGCAGAAAATAGCCTCTAATGGCCCCAATTCAGCCCCAGGCCTGAGCTTTTGGTGCTTTGGGAGTTTCAGGACTTTTCAACACCCCACTCCTCTTCCTTCTGCACCCCACCCCTGACCCCCAGCCCAGCCCTCCAAAGCATAAAGACAAAAAAGTGCTTTATTGCAATGTCTTTATTGCATTACCAGAGCAAGTTGGCCAGACTGTCCCCTCTTGGGGAAGGTAAAAAACAAAAAGACCAAAGAGTATCTCCCCTCACCTTCCCCCCACCCTCCCCCACAACTGCACAGCAATGTCTGAACACATCTGGTGACAAGAACAATTTGCAAAAGTAGTCTAGGAACTACATTATGAACTGTCCCAACACAAGACATTTAATTGGCTTCCTTGTGTATCAGATATTTTACGTAACTACATGAATTTTTTTGACTACATCAAAGACAACAGAAGAACAGGTTTTCACGAGTAACAACAGGGCACCAAAGTCACATGCTGGAATTTTTAAGAAAACAAGGTTGTCACAAGTGGCTAGAGCGAGAGCAAGGCTGAGCAACTGATAGCAGAGGGCCCAGCCAGGTCCCCATCTGGACCCTCTGCTTTGAGGCCACTGAAGCCTCACAGAGACCTACTGTGGAGTCTTAACTGGCAACAGAAACCACCTTGAAAAACCAGGAATTTTCCAGATGCAGTTCTTGGCCGAAGAGGACCATAAGGCTGGTTCCTTGCCGCAAGAAGAGGAGACCCATGGAAGACGCCACACTGGCACTCAAAGCTTCTTCGAAGCACATGAGGTCCAAAGTAAGTGGAAGGTCTCATCAGGGCTTGGAGACAGGGTAGGGGAGTTATTGGGAAGTCCTCAACCTTGGCCAGATCAGTGGTGGGGACACAGCTAGCCTATACAGGCCTGAGCCATGGCCAAGGTTTAACATCTACGGCCAGACGGAGACAGAGCATTGTTCTGTGAAGAAAGCTCAACCTGGAAAAGATAGGCCTAGGACCGGTGTCCACCCAGCTCCGAGCTACTTCCATGCTGGTGGTCAGCTTCTCTAGCCAGGAAAACAATGAGCCCCTCTAGTCTTGGTCTGTCCCTTTACCTGCCTCAGTGAGGCTGCAGTTAAGATGCCAAGAGAGAATCCCAGGGCTCAGATCACGGAATAGGACACAGAGCTAGATTCTGACGAAGGAGGCCAAGACTCACTGCCAAGACTGGAGTAAAGGAGCTGCAGGATACCCCTCCAAGTGGTTAGTAGACTGGTCCCCATGCCGTTTCCACTGGCTCAGGATCAAGCAAATCATGGGGCAACTAGTCAGAAAAGACACTTTCCAACTTCTCAAATGATCCCTAGGTCTTAGTTCCCACAAAACAACAAATTCAAGAATGAAAAACAGGAAAGAAACATAAAAGTAAAGGAATGTAGGACTTAAGAGTAGCCCTTCTCCACAAGCCAGCCCAAGTGCGGATGGCAGACGGTGCTCGCTCTTTCCCTCCACACCCTCAATGTCTGCTTGCCACAGCAACACCCAGCTCAACGTTACAGGCGTGTGTCCTCATTCTCATTTTCACTTATTTTAAAAGAGACATTCAGAACACACTAAATTTTAGTACCAGAAAAGGGATTCCTCGTACCCAATCTTGAGCATCTAGGGCTTAAGCAGGTTCAACACGAGGTGCAAAGCCGTCAGGTGTTCCTAGTAGCAATCAGTCTGGCATCATTCAGTAAAATGTTCAACATTTCAACCTGGCAATTTGGGGAAGGGATATCCAGCTGGCTGAATATCAATTAAGGACTTAGGAACGAACAGTGACGCTGGAGGGGGATTCATTTGTCTGCCTCAATCCTGAAACTGCAATGTAACCAAGGAAAAGCCAAAGATATGCCCCGTCCCTTCCTAGTCTCAGTGTTAGTAACTCGGGAGGTTTTCCCCCAATTTTTTAAATCTACAACTATTTCTATGTCATGGTCCATTCTAGACCCTGTCACCAAGATAAGTGCTCAGGGAAAGCAAAATGTGTTTCTTTCATCCCCCAAACGAGAGCTTTCCCAGCTGTAAACCTTATTGGCTTCTCTAGCTCAGCCAGGATGCCTGACTGCACCGCTTTGGGCTCAAAACAGCTGACTCACCCTGAGCCTATTATGGTTCTAGGATTGGCTCAGAGGCAGCTGGACTCTATTTGTCAAATGAGTGTTGACTGATGGGGGTGGGGCATAACGGAGGTAGGAGTAGATACTGCCTCCAACTCCATTCGCCTAGCTTCACTCAGCTGGAAGGCTTAAACTACATGGAGCAGAAGATTCCTGGCCTAAAATCAGGGCCACTGGAGCATGAGGACAGTCTGTGCACATCATCTTAATGGCAGGATCACAAAAAAAGGCAAAGAGAAAAGCTTCCAAATGGCTTCAACTAACAGTCTAAACTCCAAGCCATCCTTTCCTTTCCTTGCAAAAGTTTCAAAAACCACTGTATGGAAGCACGTGGGTAATGCGGTGTGACCCCCGCCCTGGACACCAGAGCCCCTGAAGTCCCTGACCACACTCTGGCTCCCTTCCAGCTACAGCCTTAGCCACCTACGGCTCCCCTGGGCCCTACCCAGAAACGACAGGAGATGATGGGAAATTAAACCATCTTGACTATTTTTGCAGGGCCTTTAAACTTGGGGAAGAACATATAAGAATGTTGTTCTATATCATTATTTGGTATATCAAGCCATCTAAAAGCACTGGATTGCACCTTTTCTTTACTCATACAAACAAGTTACAAAGGTTTCAAACAACAGATCATTCTTTAGGCTATGGAAACACCACACAAGCACCAACTTCATTTTATGATTCAAAGCTCACCAGCCCACAAAAAGAACACTAGTCCTTATCTCTGAGAAACAAGGGCAGGGCAAAAGGAGTTACACTGACCAATTTTAGTGTTTGCTAAAACTAACATTCTAATTTCCTTTTATTTTCAAGTTTTGGTACAGAAGTGTGCATTCAGATACTAGTGCCGCCTTGTTCCATCAGACCTTAGTCTGGCAACAATCACTGTTTTGCTGGGATCAATTTGGTTTCTAAACATAACGCTTCCTTAGAGGGAGGAGCTACTCAGATGCTGATGCCTAAATTACGTTGGTTAAGAAATTAAGTACCTTCGGTTGAAAGTTTTTTAATCCCCCTGACTAAGATTCTTTAAATGAAGTCCCAAGCCTCCCCATTTTCCTTTGGTTGTCTTTTTTACCAAATGCCATTCTACCACAGAACCGAATCCGCCTTCTTTTGGGGAGGAAGTTAGGAGAGACTGCCAGATCAAAACAGAGCTCCCGACAGAGCCCCGCCCCACCACACTCCCCAAGGAACACGACCTCTCAGGAAAGAGGACATGGACTCTTCAGAGGCTTCCAGACACAACCCCCACCCCCATCAGGCCTAATGTGTTCTGTAGAGGGTGCTTGGCTAAACGAAACAAAAACCCCAATGAAACAGGCTTTCAAAAAAAACCGCTTCTGCTTCCAGCTCCCTATGTCAGCGCAGCGGCCCGGCTGAGTCCCAGAGAGCCTCAGGCCCCTGGCGCCCCGTCCTGGCCGGCTGCTGCTCGGCCTCTCCACTTCACATTCACAGAATCACTTCTTGTGCAAAACAAGCAGTCTACGTAGAAAGAATGCCCTCATAGTCTAATAAAAACTGTAGAAAAGATGCTAGAGAGCCACCTCTCTTCCCACTCCCTCTTTATCTGCAGAGCGAGGGCATCTGTGCGTGGACGGGGTAGGCCAGCCTGACGTTGAGGGAGTCGTTGTGCTGGACCAGGGACGTGTGCTGGTAGTGCAGCACCAGCTCCTTCAGAGAGCCGTACAGGTTGTAGGGCTCCGCGAAGCCGTAGCCGCGAGCAGTGCTGTAGATCACACAGTGCTTCACTTCCCCGTCGGCGCTGCAACGACACAACACACACGCACAGGGGTTAAGGCGGAGGGCGGCAGACGCACGGACCCCATGTTCTGCAAAAGAGAGGCAGAAGTCTCCTGGCGACCAAAGCTCATATATGTCCCACCCCCATGTCCCCCCACCCCTTACAGACTTTTAGACTCGTCACAGGGATACACTTCATCTCCCACCAAAACCTGGTGGAGCTAAAATGGATGACTGTGTTTTAATCACTCAGCTCTGGGTCTTCATTAGGCAGAATGCACTGGAGAGGGGCAGAACAAACCAAAAAAAAAGTTTTTAAATGTACAAATCAGTGGTTTTTAGAACATTCACAAGATTGTGCAATAATCACCACTACTTAATTCCAGAATATTTTCATCGCTCTAAAAAGAAACAAGGTACCCGTTAACAGCCCCTCCCGCTAGACCCTGGCAACTACTAACCTACTTCCTGTCTCAACGGAATTGTCTATTCTGGGCATTTCACACACATGGAATCATACAGGATCCATCTTTTGCATCTGGCTTCTTTCACCTAGCACACCATTTTCAAAGTTCTTCTGTGTGGAGGCATGTACTGATACTTTATTTCTTCTCACGGCTGAGTAACAATACTCCATTGTATGGATATACCACAATTTGGTTATCCATTCATCAACTTACGGACACTTGGGTTGTTTCCAGTTTTTGGCTGTGATGAATAATGCTACTCTGAATATTTATAAACAAGTTTTTGTATGGACACATGGTTTCAGTTCTCTTGGATGTGTATCTAGGCATGGAACTGCTGAGTCATATGGTAAAATGGTTTAACTTTTTGAGAAACTGCCAAACTGTTTTCTGAAGTGGTTGCACCATTTTAAATTCCTGCCAGTGGTGTTTAGAGGATTCCAATTTTTCCACATCCTTGGCCACACTTACTATAGTCCATCTTTTTGGATTATAGTCATCCTTCTGGTATCTCATTGTGGTTCTGATTAAGAGTTCCCTAATGACTAATGATGTTGAGCATCTTTTCATATGCTTATTGACCATTTATATATCTTCTTTAAGCAAATGTCTATTTGAATCCTTTGCCCATTTTTATATTGCCTTTTTATTGTTAAGAGTTCTTTTGTATTAAACACTAGTAGCTTAGATATTTGATTTGCAAACATTTTCTCCCATTCTGGAGGTTGCCTTTTCACTTTTTTTATAGTGTCCTTTGATGCAGACAAGTCTTTGGGACAAGTAAGTCCAATTTATCTATTTTTTATTCTGTCATTTGTGCTTCTGATGTGTAAAAGAATGCTGCCTAATCCAAAGTCACAAAGATTTATGCCTATGTTTTCTCTAAGTGTTTTATCTTTTAGCTCTTATGTTAGTTCTATGATACATTTTGAGTTAATTTTTTATATGTGGTGTGAGGTTGGGGTCTAACACCTCATTCTTTTGCATGTAGCTCACCAGCTGTCCCAGCACCATGTGTCAAAATAACTATTTTTTTCCTTATTGAATGGTCTTGAGACCCTTGCTGAAAACCAACTAACTGTAAATGTAAAGGTTTATTTCTTGGCTCTCAATTCTATTCATTGATCTACATGTTTAATCTATGTCAGTACCTCACAATTTTGATTACTAGCTTTCTTGGAAGTTTTTTCACTGGGAGGTATATTTCAACTTTTTTTCTGTCCTTTCAAGATTATTTTAAGCTGTTCTGGATCCCTTGCATTTTTATATGAATTTTAGGATCATCTTGTCAATTTTTGTAAAAAGCCAGCTGGAATTTTTGATAGGGATTACACCAAACATGTAGATTAATTTGGGAAGTGCTAACATCTTAACATTAAGTCTTTTGATCCATGAACACAGAATGTCTTTCCATTTATTTAGGTTTTCTTTAAGTTCCTTCAGTGATGTTTCACAGTTTTCACTGTAGCTCTTGTACTTCTTTTATTTTAAACCTAAAATTTTTAAATCATTTTTATGCTATTATAAATAGCATGTGTTCTTCATCTCATTTTCAGATTGTTTATTGCTAGTACATAGAAATACAACTGATTTTTGTATGCTAATCTTTTAACCTGCAACCTTGCTGAACTCATTTACTAGCTCTAATAGTTTACTTCCTCCTTTCCAATCTGGATGCCTTTTATATCTTTTTCTTGCCTAAATGCCCTAGCCAGAACCTTCTGTACAATGATTAGAAGTGGTGAGGGCAGACATCCTTGTTTTCTTCCTGATCTTAAGAGAAAGCATTCAGTGTTTTACCACCAAGTATATTAGCTGTGGGTTTTTCACAGACACCCTTTATCAGGTTGAGGAAATGCCGGAAATGCCCTCCTAGACCTAGTTTGTTCAGTGTCTTTTAACATGTAAGAGTGTTCAATTTTGTCAAATATTTTTTGTGAATCTACTGAAATAACCAGTAGATTATTGTCAGTTGATTTTTGTCCTTAATTCTATTAATACGGTGTATTACATTGATTAATTTTTTAACGTTCTACCTCTCATGCGTTCCTGGGATGAATTCTACTTAGTCATGGTTTAAATCCTTCTTATGTGCTGCTGGAGTTGCTCTGCTAGTGTTTTGTTAAAGATTTTTATGTCTACAGTCATAAGAAATATACCCTCATAAAACGTATTGGGAAGTGTTCTCTCCTATTTTTTGGAAGAGTTTGTGAAGGAGACTTGTGTTAATTCTTTTTACAATATTTGGTAGAATTCACCAGTGAAGCTGACTGGACCTGGGCTTTTCTTTGCAGGCAGTTTTTTAAATTAATAATTCAATTTCTTTACTTGTTATAGTTCTATTCAGATTTTCTAGTTCCCCTTAAGTTGGTTTTGGTAGTTTGTATGCTTCCAGGAATTTGTCCATTTCATCTAGGTTGTTTACTTGTTGGCATATAATTATTTATAGTATTCTCTCATTATCTTTTTTTATTTCCATAAGGATTACAAGTAGTGTCTCCTCTTTCATCCTGATTTTAGCAATTTGTGTCTTCTCTCTCTCATATGTGTGGAATGTGTGTGTGAGTCCAGCCAGAAGCTGTCAATTTTGTTCATCTCAAATTCTGGTTTCATCGATTTTCTCAACTGTTTCCTTATCTCTATTTTATTTACTTCTGTTCTAATATTTACTGTTCCCTTCCTTCTCCCTGCTTGGATTTAGTTTGCTCTTCTTTTTCTAATTTCTTAAGGTGGAAGAAGATTAGGTTATTGATGTGAGATCTTCTTTTTTAATATAAATGTTTACAGTTATAAATGGCCTTCTTAGCACTGCTTTAGCTGTATTCTGTAAGTTTTGATATTTTGTGTTTCACTTTTTTTACTCATCTAAAAGTATTTTCTAATTTCCCTTGTTTTCTTTTTTTGATCCACTGGTTATTTAGGAGTGTGTTGTTTACTGTCCACATTTGTGAATTTCCTAAATTTCCTTCTGTTTTTAATTTCTAATGTCTTTACATTGTGGTTATAGAGAACATATTTTATATGATTTCAACACTTTTAAATGTATTGAGACTTGTGGCCTAACCTGAGGTCTATCCTGGATAATGTTTCATGTACACTTGAAAATAATGTGTATTCTGCTGTTGTTAGATGGAGTATCCTAGACATGTCTGTTAGGTATAGCTGTTTTATAGTGTTGTTCAAGTCTTCTGTTTCCTTGTTGATTTGTCTAAATTGTTCTATCCCTAGTCAAATTTCTTATCCCAAATGGCAACAACAATAAGGATCATAGTGCTCACTACCTGACTCCCTAACCTAATGGAATACATGCGTTGCTGGCTGTAGAAAAGGCTGTAGACTTCAGCAATTTCTTCTGAGGCTTCTTTATGATATCATTAACAGAAATTAAAATGGAAAAGCCAATGAGTTCCATGCTTGACTTCCTGCTACATATCATTTTAATTTTGCTATGAGAGTCTCCTAAAAAACTGAACTTATTCATTCATATCTATACTTCAGAAAATGTCTTAAGTAAATTGGGAAATCACTGTAGGCGGCCTTTTTGTAGCTAGAGTGACTAGAAAACAAGTGGCAGTCTTTGTGATGCCAGGCTCTTTTGCTTTCAACCATCCTCCAAGTGAACCCCAATATGACATATGACTGCAGTTGGCTTTCATAGGCAAAGGAAATCCACACTGCTTTGGACTTGAGTCTGGTAAAGTCTGTGGCTAAAGCAAGGAGAAAACAGGTACTATGCTGTACACTAGACATTAACAAAACATTGTAAACCAACTACACATACATACATACACATGTACATAAAAATACAGCTCCCCAAGATACTCAAGCTGCTCCTTGGTCTCCCAGAAATTAGCTGAGCTGCTGGGCAGCTCCTACACTCAGCCAAGTCCTTAACCCACAGGCTGCCACCCAATGACCTGGATGAGAGTGAGGGACTAATGAACCGGGCTTATTGCCTTCTTTCTTTTTTATTGTTCTTAAAAAAAGATCTCAAATCCTGCAAGAACCATTCCCTCCTGCCATTTCCATTCAGATAACTTGTGTATCTGAGCCCAGGTCAGAGAGAAATGAAATGTTTCAAGTAGCTCTATCTTTGGATAACAGTAATCCAATGTACTTTTTCAACTCCTCCCTCAGTTTTTGCCCATAGATACCCCACTACTCATCCTTTCAAAATCCAGCTCAAATGCCACCTCATCCACCAAGTCTCCCAACACTCTTTCTCCATCAGAATTAGCTCTTCATGCACACAGCCTACTAAGGCTGATACCTATGTCACAGTGATTCTATTTACCTTGGATAATTAATTGTGAAATGAAGAAAGCATGGTGCAATAGACAAACGTGGGCTTTGAAACCAGGTAAAGTTGGGTTCAAACTCTGATTGCATGACAGAGACAGACCACTTAAGGACAAGATGACCATGTAAAGCACTGAGCACTCTGTTAATATGCATGTCTTTTGTCAGACCTCACCAACTTGCCCTCTTTGAGGGAAAAATTATCCTGTCATCTTTGTTTGCCTCCTGCCACGTCCATCAGTAGCATCATTATCATAATATTAGTAGATAACAGTTACTTACCATGTTCCACGTTCCAGTGCTGATCAAAGCCTATTACATTACATACATTAACTCATGCAATAGGCAGTATTATTATTAACCTTATTTTACAGATAAGAAAACTAGGCAAAGAAAGGTTAAGTGACTTACCCTAGGTGACATATTTGGTGAGTAGTAGAGTCAGGATTTGAATCCAGTATATCTGGCACCTAAGTTTGCTCTCATAACCATCCTCCTACACCTATACTCTAAGCATGGTCTTTGTCAATGAAAACAGTTGCATTTTTAAGGAAATACACATAACACTTAGGCAAAAGCTGACTGAGGAAAGATTAGTTTTCCCCAGAATTTCACTTTCCAATAAAAAGGAAAATAAGACTTTTCCAAACAAAGTTATAAGATCTTCTTACAGAAAACATCCAACATCTTCTATCACTACCCCAACAGAATACTATTTACAAAACTGAGATAGTTTTTCTTCTGAAGTAAAAACAGTTCTACTTCTAATCGAGCCTTCCTTAATCTGACGATGAAGGCCAAGTCAGGCATGCAGGAGACTACTAAAGAATTAAGATTCAATTGAAGACCTCAAATTACTTTTCACAGATACCTGAAATCCAATAGCAACAATGCAGGGCCTCACTTGCTTACCATTTAAATTAAAATCCCCCAAATAATTTCAGATGATATTTCTCCTAAAGTAACTGTTTTCTTTGTACAAATATTAATGGTCTAAGAAAGTCATGGGTCCTCATTTCACTGCACTTCAATTGATTTGATCTGAATTTTATGAGGGTCAATTTCTTATTAACCAATGTGGCAGTTTCCAAAAGGTCATAGCCCCAGAGAATACTTACACCACAGAGCAAGCGTAACATCCTTTCTTGCTACTCTCTCGAATTAAGAATGCACCATCAGGTTTCCCGTAAAGCAAGTCCTCTGCTTGTACTCGGTTGATATCCTCAACAAACCAGGTTTTCTCATCATAGTGGGGCAGGTTTTCATCTTCTTCATTGATAAAATAGGTCCTAAAAATTAAATGTTAAAACATTATTCTAAGAATCAGGTTGCTTACATCTAAAAGTAAATTCATGAATAAAACTCTCTTCTAAATCTTTAACTACAAAATGACAAAGTGAAATTGCAATTAGTTGGATGTTTTTTAAAAACTTCATCATTTGCTATCATGCAGAATGCACAGAATTCACATGTCCCATACAATAAGCTGACACATGAATGTCTGAATGAGCAATGCTTATTATGTGTCCAGGCTTCATCCGATGCAGGAGGTCTCTGAGCTCAAGTGCCTTTGGGTAACTCCTGAGGCAATTCAATTTAAAGAGATGCAAAGTTCTTGATTCAATGTCCTCCAGTAACAAAGAGAACCAACATTTAGCAGTATTAAGAAGGCCCACGTCTTATACTGGGAACAAAGCCCTCTGACAGAAAGGTATAGAGAAGAACTTACTCATCAGCATCTTCATTCTTGATTCCCAGCCAGGCATTTAGACGCTTCTGCCTCACTCCTTTGTGATTGAGCCACCTGCCAGAGGGAAGACACCAGTGTCACTATCCGTGCAAACTCTGCCTGGACAAAGTAGACCCATCCAAGCTAACCAAACTTCCGAAGTTGAGGAACCTCTCATTTTCCACAGTCCCACCAAGAGTGGCCAGAGATTTCCCTAAACTAGTTTCTCCATTACTTTTCCTTCAACTTTCTGCAAAAAGGCAGAAACACAGAGCTACCTGAAATCAGGCATCTCGCACTCTTCACTGTCCTTTTCTGGAAGTTCTATCACCACAAGCACACACATCCATATGCACTCAAATACAACAGGACACTTGTTTCTGAAATCATTAGGTAGGTGAGCATGGTGTCACATCTGCAATCTCTACTCAACCAGAAGACACAACTCCTCTGTGGCCTACTACACTGAGTTCAAAATTCTAAAACAGAATTTCAAGGTCTACTTTTGTACCTAAGCAAACCACAAGAAATTCAGGGTGGCAACCTGTATAATTAATACAAACTTACTTCATCACCAGGCAAATCATCGTATTTTAAAATATACCAATATTTAGATGTAAAATGAATCATTACATTTAGTTCTACTGAGATGGACGATGGTCTAAAACTTGAGTGACCTTATAAAAACTCTCATCACTATCTGCCAACCAGGCTCTTGATGGATTCAGATCTCATCAGAAACAGCACCTCCTCAGGGAGGGCTACCCTAACTCTCCCTGCTTAGGCAGTCCACCAGTCACACTGTCTGTACTTTACCTTAATTTATCATCTTCACAGCACTTGCACAAAATTCATTATTTTATATTTTCACTCGTTTAAGTTTGCCACCCCCACTAAAACGTAAGCTGCTTTAAAGAAAGGCATCTGTCCTGTTCCAGGCTATTCCGAATGCTAGAATCAGTGCCAGCACATAGTAGATACTCAACAGTCAGTATCTACTGTCAGTCAGAAAGTAGTCAGTAAACATTTGTAGGTGAGTGCTTTTAACAAAATCTTCAGGGTCAACTGCCAGGTCATATTGTTTCTCTCTGACCCAAAAGTACACTAGATAACTTGGCATTACACCTAATTTCTGTCCGTTCTTCTAGACAGGTTACACAGCCTTTCTCAGTAAGACATGTTCTTCAGTTAACCTGGATTTCATTTTTATGCTTACAGAAACTGGAAAACAGCTAACATACAATCTTGATAGAATTCATTTAATAATAAACCCCCTCCTACACCATCACTTCTCTTAGCAAAATATCCAGACACCCTCATCTAAACATTCTTATCATTCAAAATTTTCTCTCCTTGAAGAACTGATCTTTCCTTTATTAAATAAAGAGACAAGCACACTGGGTAAAAAATAAACAAACTGCAACCACATTTTCTCTCAAGTCCCCATTTTCTTTTAACCACTAACCTCTTTACACTGAGCTTCCCCTTCTGCCACAAGGAATGTGGGGACACCCAGGGAACTCCAGGAGAAAGAGAAGAATGTTTTGGTTCACTCTTTATCTCCGATGGCCTCTGCCTTCTGACACAGGCAACTTCATCTACCACTATAGAGTTCTGAGTCCTTAAACATCTAACAGCAATGCTAGGAACTGGCTGGCTTTTAAAAATAATTTTTAAAACGCTCAAGTAATTTTAGTAAGTATGTTAATTCATATTTAACTTACTACTATTGAGTAATGCCTAGATCATATGGAAAGCAGTAGCTTCAACGGGAAAAACCTGAACAAAAGCATCAAAGACCTAACATCCAATTCTCCTTCTGTTACTAATTGTATGGTCTTTTTTTTTTTTTCCATTCTAAAAAAGTTACAAAGTTGAAGTTACAACATAAATTCAGTGCATAAAAGATACACTTATTTTCCTTATGTTCAGTTTCATTTTTCAAAATAAAATCCCTAATCAAACTGTCTTTTTGTTTACTACATACTATGACATTTTACTTAATTTCTATCAGTCAGGGTCTTGGCTAGAAGCAGAAGGCACGGTCAAACTGGTAGTTGAGGAGAGCTGACTATTTACAAAGGTCTGGAGAGGTTTTGGAGAAACTCTCAAGGGATGATACAGTACCTTGGGTCTAGCAATAGTGGGAAGCCATAACCTCTCCTAGGATTGAGGAATCAGTCAGCTGGAGAGAGCAGCGACCTGAACTCAGAGAGTACTACATGGAGAGTGCCACCGTTGGTGGAGAATGGGACACAGCCACCTCACAGTCATCATCCAGGGAGGAAGCTGGAAAACAAATACTCTTACTTCACCCTTCTGCCCTCTCATCTCCTGCCAGTGCCTCCAAATGGCCACAACTAATTAGAAGTCAGAGTGCAAATAGATTCATTTTCTTAGCCACAGAGCAGGGTGGGGAAAAGATGAAGAGTAGAAATTGTGTGGGCACATGGAAAATTCCATCCTTTGAAATGGCTGAACTTTAAGTGGACTTTTTTCCAGGACCTATTATCCTCAGGTAAAGAAGATGGCTTCTGTACTCAAGGAGTATTTGGCCAGAATAAGAGAATAGGACTTTTAGTGGCTTATTTAGGACATGCTTTAATGTAAGATTAAACTAACTTTTGTAGTCACAATGTGTACCTTCACTTAACAATTATTGACATGGTAATGTCCTTCAGAATTCCTCATACACACTGCTGCCCCATCCTGCCTCTCCAATTCTGCGTTTGGGAAGCTGACTTTTTGGAGCTGTAAGATAACATTTATTCAAATTAAGTTTTATGATACTCAGTTTGGATCACAGTTTCAGTCTCCTGGGATCTTTCTGGACCTGGATATTTTATCATCTATCTTATCAGCTGCTCCTCCTAGCTTTTTGTCATCCTAAATATGATCAGCTGTTTGTTAAAGATCATCCAATCATTGATAATAATATTATAGGGCGTGGCTATGGGTGGACTCCCAAGACACACTACCTCAGACTACTTTAGGATGGCAATAATTCAGAGCATATTAGTCAGGCCAGACTAAGTCATGCTGCAGTCACACACAAATTGTGTGGTCTTGACCAGCCTTCCTTTATGCTTCAGTATTCTCTTCTAAAAAATAGGAAACCTACTACTCCTGTAGCTTTATTAAAGTTATCTTAAGAAAAACATGAGAAAAAAATTAGATGGTGTTAGCATATCCTTACCCAGTCCCCACCTCAGCACGTAGGACGGGAAAATATGTATATATGGTGTCCTTCAACCCAACTACTCCCCTCCAAGAGAAAAAGAGTTTGTGTTTCAGTCCAAGAATAAGAATTACATTGGGCAGTCCCTGAGAGAGAGGGATAAGAAAATAACACTTTGAAGCTAAGGCAGTTCTGAAAGAGAATTTATGCTTCCCTAAAGCATGGCTAAAGAATTAGGTGGGGTGACAGAAAAGGGTTCCCAAGCACAAGGCACCCTGGATGGAAGGCAAAGTTTTAAGATGCAGAGTCCATCGGGAGCCAGTAAGGAGATGACTGTGAAGAGCACCTCTGAATTTTATGGAACAGCGGTATTTAACCAGATGGCAGGACCCAGTGATTAGGGGTAGAGGAAGCACCCAATGATGGCAGTGATAAGGGACAAGAAACTTGTACTCCCCACAGACTAGTTCCTGGCACTACATCAGGATGACATTCTTATACGATCTGTGAGTGTGTGCGCACGCGTGCGCAAGTGTGTGCTCACAGAAGGTAGGAAAGTCCTAGTTAAAACCAAGATAAAATATTTCTTTTATAACCAGGCAGGTGGGAACTGGGAATAAATTAATTTTAATTTAAAGAAAAAGAGGATTACAACTTGTCTTGCATTAAGTTTTACGGACAGAACTTCACACTCCCTATATAAAATTGAGATAATCTAAGACATTTTGAATAAAAAATTCACTGTGAAAAATGTAAAGTTGTAAGAGATAAATTACAGAATGATTAACTACTCTAAAAACCCAGACCATCACTGATGGAAAAGTAAAATAGGGCAGCCACTGTGGAAAAGTCTGGCAGTTCCACAGTTAAACAGAGTTACCACATGACCCTGCAACAATTCTACTCCTTGACATATTCAGGAGAACTGAAAATCTATGTGCATACAAAAAATTACACATGAACATTCAGAGCAGCCTTATTCACAATATCCAAAACGCAGAAACAACCTAAATGCCCATCAATTGATGGAGAGTTAAACAATATGTAGTGTATATCCATATAATGGAATATTATTTGGCCATAAAAAGGAATAAGGTACTGATATATGGCTATACATGGATGACCCTCGAAAACATGCTGAGTGAAAAAAGCTACTCCTAAAAGACTGCATATCATATGATTCCATGTACATGAAATGTTCAGAAGAGGCAAACCCATAAATACAGAAAATAGAATAGTGGCTGCTTAGGGCTGGAGGGAATAGGGTGATGGGGGATGACAGGTAAAAGGGTACATGGTTGCTTTTTAAGGTGATGAAAATGTTCCAAAATTGACTATGTTGATGGTTACATATATCTATGAATATACTGAAAAATACTGAATTAAACACTTTAAATACGTGAATTGTGATGGGATGTAAACTGTCTCTCAATAAAGTTGTTTTAAAAAACAGAACACACCATGCTCTACAGAACTCTTTGGTTACAAATTCCCCAGTACATATTACTCAAAACTCATTATTAATACCCCTATATTATTATGGAAAGTTATTCTTTATTTTGAACTTATAAATTTAGGTTTATGAATACCAATAAAAGTAAACGGTAGGGGTATTAATGATGAGTTTTGAGTAATATGTACTGGGGAATCTGTAACCAAAAGGGTAATCATGAACACTACTCCTAATGAAAAAGAACTGCAAATGAACAACCAAATTCCTTTTTTGAAAAGGAATTTTAAGGGGTTTTATATTTAAGAAATGAAATTCTCTAAGCATTCAAGGATATTCTAGAAAATAGTACATCGGGATCTCAGAAGAGAACCTCAAAAAATCCTTACGGGCTCTGCGGTGAGAAGTCAGGGGAACATCTACATGCAAAGGGGGCTTAATGGAACTAATGACAATCTCCATTTGGGTGCTGCAGAATTCCAAACAATTCCAAGTCCAAAACAGGACCAAAGAGGGCTCATATGCTGTATCATACAGCAATGTTCACACGTAGCACACATGTTACAACCTCTGTCCTTCAGGACCGACTGTACAGTTTCAGCATTAGAGCAGACTAAGCCCACCAGTCCTAGCGCTGTCTTTGTTAGAAACACCAAAGCACGGACGCTGGGACACTGGACGATCCTCCCTGAAGCAACCCTTCCAAAAGAGGTAACAGTTTTCTGTGTCTCCCTAAACATCCTGGCAGGATATGAGCAGGTCATGGCTTACCATCCATGATATTACCTAACCTCTCTTCTATTTAGCTCACATAACTTGTTAAAGAACTTTCAAGGTCTGGTTTGCCACTTAGTCATGCACCTTGGGATGATATGTTTCTTAATATCTCATTGCTTCCCAGGGAAAAGGAGTACTTCCATTCACTCCTTTGGTCCATGGTATAGCCTCCTTGGGCCTTTCTTCAGCTTCATTATGTGACCAGAACCACATAAGCATTCCAAGAGCAGACACACCCTGCTTTTAGACAAGGGCACCTCCTTCCCTTGTTTCCAAAGCTCTTCTGTATGCTTTGTGTATTTGCTTGACTTTTTTTGGCCACAATAGCAAACTGAAAGATCTCTAGAGAAGAGGATTATTAAAAACTACTCAGCGTAGTGTAGTTATAATTGTTTGCCCCCAAACTGTACCTTAAATTCCCTTTACTGACAACAGTCACTGTTTCAACCCCTAAGCTTCTACTTTATCCCTTCCTCCTTTCTCACACAAAGAAACCCTGAAGTCTATGGAAAACCCCGTCAAAGTCTTCACTCTGTCTCCTCCTGCCAGGAGTTTGAATTAAGTGTGTTACATGCATGAAAGTCAGGCATAAACATATTTCATAACAGTCCATTCATCACCTAGAACTAAGCCTAATATATTTTCCTTTCTTGTAGATTCTCTCCTTCTATGAAGCAGTCATCCAGCCTTTTAAAAATCAAATCCACACATCTTGTTCTGATAATATATTTTTCAATCTATTTGTAATATATATATTATATATATCATTATCTCTAGCCAAATCACATAGTTTTCCATCACTCCTCAGTACGCCATCTTTCATACCTGCTATAGACACATTCCTGTTACTTAAGTGGAGAATTTTATTTCTTAAATATAAAAACCCTTCTAATGGCTTGTTCTCTATACTTATTTGTAGGCCCCACTCTCAGTATCCTTGCCTGTGCCCATGAAGGGTAATTTCTGTTTCTATGCTTCTTCTCTGTAGCAAAGATTCTAGGTTTTGTGTTTTAGGCAAACATTAATCTGTACTTTTTAAGCTCTATCACTTTGTTCATCTATATGATTACAGCCCTACCTTCTGACTGGCCCCACACTTGACTTCAGGTGGACTCTGGTACCCCTGCAGCTAACAAGACTGCTTCCCTAAACTCTTACAATCTTATCGGCCAGTTCTCAATTACAAATCTCTTCTTCTACCTCTAGCATCTCTGGTGCCAGCACAAATGGTGGTGGTGGTTCCCTCCCACACAGGCCCAGAACACTCACACGAGGTGCTGATCTCGGATCTTGCGCAGCTGGATCAGGTCAGGTTTGATACTGTTCATTTTTTTATCTATTTCCCGGTTGTCCAAAGCTTGTTTCTTCAAATCCTGCTCTAGACGCATTTTGCTATCATGAATCTCACCCAGACGTGATTTCAATTTGTCATAATTCATCATAATTCTGTGAAAATATGTGACATATTAAGGCTAACATAGGAACCAAGCAGAAGCGTTCTCTAGTGTGAACATAGTCCTAATTCCTTAAGTGTGGCGGACACCTGTTGTTTTTGCCCAGCGCACACCCGCTCCCAGTCTCTTGGTACTGCACCCTGATGCTCCCTGCAGGTGAGGGTCCTGCCCCCATCACAGACACACACAGCCTACACTGGCCAGTAAGAGCATTCCATTCCCTCCTATCCCTACCTCAGGCCACAGCAACTTGTTCAAGAACGGGCATAATACCCAAACTGACCCAATGAGGGTCAGTTCTAGGACTCTTGCTAGAAATATTGCAAACAGATTCTCTCTTTCCACTGGGATTGGTAAATTATGAACATGTGATTCTAGCACTCCCAGCAGTTAGTACCACCACCTCACAGGCCTGCCTGAGGACAAAACCAACACAGAGAAAAACTGAGACAAAAGACAGAGTATGAGGAGAATCCTGGTGATCTTGTTTGGGCCCTGGATTCAGCCATGACTGAACAAGTAAAGCTGGGTTACTGTGTGAATTAAATGTGGTAACACATGTAAAAGGAATAAACAATGTCTGGGATATCTTGGTAATCCCTCAGGAGATGATGACCCTAACTTCCCCAGCACAACAAGTTTTGCTGTGTTCTGAACCCCAAGGCAACAACTGTCCACATTACTCATTTGTCACTCAATAATATATAGTTTTTATGTTACTATTAAAATTTCATCATGCTACTTTACCTCCTTTTGCAACTAAACTACAAGTTCTTTTCTATTTCTTCATTATTAATAATTGTCATTTATTGATACCATATGTCAAGATACAAACACACACCTTTCTGTACCATGAATGTGTGTGTGTGTATTACTTCATTCTCACAGCATTTCAACAAGGTTTTATCCATAGTTTTATGGAGGAAGAAACAGGCCCAGAGAGTTAAGTAACTCACCCAAGGACACTCAGCTAGTAAATGGTTAACCCTTAAGCCATACTACTTATACTACACTTAATCCTATTCTTATGCACACAGAAGTACACTAGTACTTTGGTGCTAATATGAGAAATAATTTTGCTTTCCATACGCGTATGCTTCATTTTTATTATGTACTTTTTTTTCACTTCTCAGCCCACTGTTACTTGGCTCAGTCTTCTAATACCCCACTAAATTTGCTTTGGTAAAGGCTCTTTCGTTGTGAGATCCAATACTTCTCATGCTTCTCACTCTCGCGCTCTCTGTGCAATGTAATCTCATCCTCAGTATCTACTATCACCTACACACATGTGCTTCCTAGATCCTGTCTGTACCCTGAGTTCCAAACAACCAGCTGCCTGCCCCTCAGATAAGCCTATGTGGGTTCTCACAGGAGCATCACATTCATTGGGTCCAACTCCAAACTCTCCTCATGTACTTCCCATTTTGGTGAATAATACCATCGCTTAGTCACTCATTTCAGAAATCTACGAATAATCTTTGGCTTCTCCCACACCTGCCATATCTTGGCAGGCATCAAGTCTTCAGCATTTCTGTTAACTCCGTCTCCTTTCCTGCCATTGCTCTGGTTCAGGCCTTTACCATCTTTTAACCTGATGACCACAAAGATGCCGTCAGTCACCTGCAACAAGCAGGCTAGTCTTCCTGCCTATGCTCTTGTTCTGCCTTCAATTTATTCTCAGACTGCTGTTGTTGGTTTTCAGTTCAACAACTATTCCATGAGCACTATGTGCTCTCAGGCACCATAATATGTGCTGGAACTATCAGGGAAAAAATAAGCCAGCATCCTTACTCTCAACAAGCTTGCACTTCGTGGGTGTGACCCTCAGTAAATGTCACAAGAGGGATCAGGACCAGATACTATGAAGCTAGGGACAAAAAGCTTCTAAACTACTCCAGGGAATCAGAGAAGAGTTTTCGAGAAAAAGTCACATCTACAGCTGAGCCCCAAAAGATGAGCAGGGGTCAACAATTAAGGATGGAGAAAGAATGCACAAGTGAGGAGGGTCAGTTTGGTGCTATAAGTGTGAACAGCAAGTAATTCCATACAGCAGTTTGAGGCGGGGTAAAAGCAGACATGACAGATATCACTGGAGAAGAAAAGACGTCTTGTCTCACTGATGCACTTGGAGGTAGTAGGTAGGTTTACCGTTCAATTTCCTTTTCATTCCCCTCTCTCCGAAATCGCTCAATATATTCTTTGCTATGTTGTTCTTGTGTGTGACACTGCTCTTCAAATATTTTAATTGTTTCATTAAAAGCTTCAATTGCAGTCCTCTTCATCTGGATTTCCTATAGGAGAAAAAACAAAAACATATACTTCATTATTTTTTGAAACCTTAATCTTTTAAAACAAATCTTACAGTTCTAGTTATAATTCCATATAAGATCAAATTAAGAGGGCTAAAATGAAGCCCTTTATTAAACTCTTGTCCTTATTACTTTTTTGCAAAAGACATCATTCAAACTCTAAAAGAAAAATAACTATTACCTGCAATATAGCTGAGAACCCCAGAAAGTCCTCTGAGTTACTAAGAGAGATGAACCCTGAAGACGAGGATAAAGTTCTGCCTGTGTAACTACTGTAGTGCTGACCTGCAAAAGGCACTGAGGGAGTGAAGAGAAAGCACGGAGGAGTCCACGCACCAGCGTGCAAAGCCTTACTCCCAGAAGAGCCCTGTAGAGTCTATTTACTCTTACTTTCATTTCTAAAGCATGTCATTTTCCAAACAGATCCATCAGTAGATTAATCTGATTATAAGCAGAAAGTGAAAAGGGGAAGAATAACGGCTAACATCAGTTGCCGAATAAGATGAAACACTAAAAACTCCACAAAGCAGAAGTCCAGGAGGCTAGGCCAGTCAGCGCCAGGTAAGCAGCCCTCCACGTTTCAGTGAGCTCTGAGGGCATCTGTGCACTTTAGCACCTGAATCAAGAGTCCCCTAAAATCTTCAGAGAGGGTTAAATTTTGTTCAGTTTACTTCAGAAAGTCAAGAAATACGTATAAAGGTCTAGAAAGATTACTATCCTGGTTAATTTCAACAAATGATTACTGAGAATCTACTATATAGAAAGTACCACCTAGTGGTAAAGAGATTCATAAGACATGGAGTCTTCCCTCCAGGATTCAGAATACACAGGTGAAACAGATTTCTGAACTCTAATAAGGCTTTGTTTCATATCATGATACTGGCAACAAAGTGGGCTGAATTGGTTACTGCTTTACAGAGGCTTCAAGGGGGTGGCAACATCTGAGCTAGATCTCAAAGAACTGGGGTAGGAGGAGAAAATTCAGCATTGCACACGGATGGCAAGGCATCTACATGAAATAACAGTGGATGTTCAGGATCAGCAACAGCTCAGTAGGTCTGGAGCATAAGGGATGCCAGTAGATGAGGGACATTAGAACCTTGTGATGTTATATAATTGAGGTTACAGCATGCATATCTCAAAGAGTCCTATAAGCTTTATTGGAATGCACATATCTAAATATCGAGCTATAAATTCTACAACTCTCAAATTAGAGTGGAGGGTCTTAGCTCCCTGGCAAGGTTAGAAATTACCAACAAAGTTCTGGCCTGTATCATCAAAGAAAACACCAATAATTGGACTTTACTTACACTGGTATACGTGTCAGTAAGTAGGGCAGCAAAGGGAAAAGTATTTGGTATCACTGCCAAAGCAGCTGCTCCCCCATAAATAATGCCACTATACCTACCACCAAAACTATAAACCTATGTGTCTTTACACCCGTTCCTTCCTTTCTCTTCCCTTTTATCTCCATGTGCTCTGAGTCACACTGCTTCTTCCTTTCTCAGGTACTTCATTCCATCACATCAGCTAGCCCCTCTTCATTCACACTCCCAGGTTAATGGTTCTTTCTCATCAGTGTACAAACAAGTTCTAGTAACACCATTTGAAAAAATATCCCTTAACCCTAAATTCTCTTCCAGTCACAGTTAAGTGTTAAAAGAGTTTATATGAGCTCTCTTTCCTTGTATCTCATTCGTACTGCAGCTCACTCTATTCTGGCTTCTGTACTCTCCATTCCATAGAGACTGCTCTTTCCAAGGTCACCAAGGATTTCATTGCCAAATTCCTGTCTCTAATTCCAAACCATCACTAAATCCTATCACTTTTCCTCCTAATTAATGTAATCCAGATGTCAAATATCCCCAGTTGCAGTCTGTTCTCACCCTGTGCCAACTCTGACTCAGGATACACTATCTCTTCCCATTCTCTGGGAAGAATTTGACTGCATCAAACCAATAGAGATTTTTATCTACGATTTCACAGGGGAAAAAAAAAACCAGTGGTCTCTAACACTCACAAATAGAGGAGATCCATTCTTTAATTTCCCCTCAACACTTATAGTCCCAGCAACTCTCCTACACTGCTAATCACTGGGTCCCTCTGGATCCCTCCTCTTGTCCCCCACCTCCCAAAGCTTTAAGCCTCCAAGGCTCTTCTCTGCTCAGCCCCATCTCAAGTCTTGCTCTCAATTCTCACATAGAGAAATTAGTCCTCTTCTAGCTTTTTTGGTTGCTTCTATTCACCCCCATTCCCTGCTCCCCAACCAGGGATTCCAAGTCCAGAACCCAGTCTCATATCAGCTGCTCAGAACTCGTATTCTGCTGTTAAGTCCCCAGTATTATGAAGCATGTTTGCAGCATGTGGAGCTTTCTCTGCTTTCTCCAGCCATGGCAAGAAAGCAGAAATGCAGCCTACATGAGCCAAAGCCATATGCAACTTTGGCCATTTTTCCTAGCCTCCATTCACAGGAGGGTTAGCCCTCCCTGAGCTTCCAGTTCATACCATGAGTCTGACTTCAGAAGGCCCTTGACAAGGGTGGAGTGCTTTGGTTCATTATCTTGTAGAAATTCATTCAACAAACAACTGAACACTAACTATATGCCAGGCATCATTTGAAGCACTTGGGAAACGTAAGTGAACAAGCTTAAAATCAAGATTTCTGCCCTCCTGGAACTTATAGTTTAGGGGGTTATGCAGACTATAAATAACAGATATAACATATAAAGTAATAGCAAATAAATTACATAGTTTGTTAGAAGGTAAGACATTATGGAAAAAATAAAGGAGAATGGAGAAGGAGAAGTGAAATACGAGTTGAAATTTTAAATGAAGTTGTCAGGTAGGCCTTGCTGAGATGACAACACTTGAGCAAAGTCCTGAAGGAGATGAGGGGGTTAGCCGGGTGATTATCTGGGGCAGGGGAGTGTTTCAGGCAAGGAATTAGTGTAAATACTCAAAAGGAGGAAACAGGTCAAATGTACTCGAGGAACAGCAAGGAAGCTAGTGTGGCTGGAGTACAGTGAGGACGAGAGTTCTAAGAATGAGGTCAGAGAGGAAGAGGGGCACAGACCACATCTGGGCATTGTAGAAAGGACTCTGACTTTGTGTAAAACGCGGAACCAGAGATAGGTTTGAAACAAAACAGTGCTATGATCTTACCTACGTTTCACAAGCATCACCCAGCTGAGATGCTGAGAACTGCTGAGGAGGAGGGGAACATGGATAAGGGCAAGCAGACCAGTTAGGAGGCTTCTGCGGCAAATCAAGGCACAAAACGACAGCGGCTTAGATCAAGGCATTAACGGTGGTAAGAAGGGGTAGGTTCTGGGTGTATTCTAAAGGTAAAGTTAACAGGAGTTCCTGATGGATTGGACGCAAGGTATAAAAAAGCGAGCCAAGAATGACTTCAAAGCTTTTAGCCTGAGCAAGAAGAAGGGACATGGTAACTCTCAACTGAGATAGGGAAGGAGAAGGTAGAACAGCCCTGAGATGGAATATCAGAGTTCTATTTTCAATATGTTAAGTTTGAGATATCTATTTAAACATCCAAGTGACGGTGAAGAACAGGCCATTGGATGTATGAGTCTAGAGTTAAAAGAAGTTAGAAGAACCAGATATAAGTTTGGGAGTTACTGGCAATACAGATGGTATGTAAAGCCACGAGATTGTCTGAGACACCAGAGAGCGAAAGACTAACTAGAAAAGAGAAGAGGATCATAGTCGAAGAGGAGAAACCAGCAAAGACTGAGAAGGAGCTACCAGGGAGGTCAAGCTATCAGCTGTCTCTGCTTATTTCCAGATCTGGAAGCTCCATTTATGATGATTATTATAGGCTTCACTTCCACCTCTGATCTACAGAAATATTCATACTGTTTTTGCATACAGCCATGGGCTTTTAATGTGTATCATTTTTAGCATGAAATATAGTAAGTGCATAAAAAATACACAGCTTAACAAATTATTATAAAATGAACACTCACTACCAGCACCCTAGAAACTTAGAAAAACCCCCTGCGTATCTTTACTGGATCACAACTCCCTGCCTTTTCCCCCTCCGCCTCCCCTGCCTTGATAATAACACTGTCCTGCCCTTTATGATGATCATTTTCTTGTTATTCTTTACGGTTTGGCCACTTGATGCTCCTAGCCAAAATAAAAAAGTTTAACACTTACTTGGTTTTTTTACCTTATATGAACAGACTCATATTATACACATACACACATATATATATATTCTTGAATCTTTTACTCAATATTCTTTGTGAGATTAAACAGTGTTATATCTTGCCCTTTAAATAAATATACACACACAATTACAGACATCCATCATTGTTTTATCTGATGCAGAGGAAAGGGATTAAAGTATGCTATTCTGACTAATGCACGTTGTCTTTAACAAATATTGCCAGAATACTTCATGCTTTTGCAAAATAGGGCCTCATCTCTCCATCTGTGTTTCTAGAGTCAGGCATAGTAAGTATCAAACCTACAGTAGGTATTCAATAAATGTTTTTGGATGGTTGTACTAACTTTTTTCACCCAATTCTCCCTCTCTCCCTCTCCCTCTCTCTCACACACACTCACACACACACACTCTCTCTCAAATACAGCTGTGGTTGCCAGTATCTCCATCTTACAGATGGGAACTTGAAGCACAGACACGCTCTCAGGGGACATAACCAGTTTTTAGCATAACCAGGATTAGAAAATAAATCTCTTAAATTCCAATTCAGTTAATTTTGTATTTTTAAAGAAGGTAATACATACATAGAGGGGAAAAAATACATCAAACAATATAAAAGAATAGTGAGGATTAAGTTCCCTACTCCTGGACTTTTCACTGCCTTAATTATCCTCCCCAGAGGTTATATCAGTTTCTGACCAGAGATATTCTGAGCACATATAAACATATCACCTCCCAGGTTCTTTCTTTTTAACCATAAATGACCATATAAAATTTTGGTACCTCACTTTTTACT